ACTGATTGGTCAGTTGCTGACGAGCGTACTGGATTGATTGACAGGTGGCATTGAGGATCCGACTCGTGCAAAAAAAATCATAGATTTTACTGGCCTGTTTAAGAGTCATCATTTATTCCAGTGTTTCTCATCCCATTATACAAGTGGGGTGCCCTGCTCTGTCAACAGAACCAAGCGCCCCGCCTACTTAACCAAACTGCACACAAACCCCCCATTCCCGCCGTCGACACTGACGTACCACTAAGCTAGTGGCGCACAATACATGTGTGCTAGCTAAAAAGCTAGCGCACTCCCAAAAAGAGGCTAAAACCGCCACTGATCTTCACAGGAGAAAGACGTTGCTTGTTGGACCAGTATTACAAATCCTAACTGTTTTGTACTTGTAGGGAATAACGACCAAAAACAAAGTAGTTGGGAGTGAAATACAGCATTCCCTCATTACTTTGCGGTTTGACTTTCGCAGACTCGCTCTTTCGCGGTTTTTCAACGTAAGATTGAACATGACACACGATTATCAGCATTAATATTACTCACATGATTGGGATGGTATGAGATTAAAAAGTTTACTGAAGCAGACAGGAGCGGGAACCAACCAATAGGACAACTACACAGCCCAAAATACAACAGTGTACTACCAAGAAGCCAACAGTGCTTCCGGCCGCTGTTTTCTGTTGAAATGGCAGCAACGGAGGGAGCAAACACAACATGCAGACGGCGACGGGGTTCGGCCCCTGAGCCGAGGTGGTGGACTACATCCTGGGCAGTCTCACGATCAGAGTGTTCTTCCTGGGACGACAGCACACTCACATCAACTTAGACAGTGCTGTGGGCTTGAGATACTGCAGGGTAGGTCTGACGAACCAGAACCGAGTCACAGCTGCTGGTCTGCAGAGCTGGTGAGTAAAACTTTGTAGTACTGTGTACATATATGTACATATAGTAGTATAGGTTTAAGAGTTTAGAACATTGCAAGAGTGTGGGAAGGGTTGATAAAGCCTTAAAATATATATTTATTAACCTTTATTTAACACGGCAAATCCCATTAACAAAGGAGGCCTGGACCTGAAGGCAGCCTAACATGCATGTTTTTATTCTGTGGGAGGAAACTGGAGTACCTGAAGAAAACCCACGCAAGCACGAGAAGAACATGCAAACTCCACACAGAAAGACCCCGGGTCCAACAGGGGATTGATCCCAGGACCTTCTTGCTGTGAGGCAACAGTGCTAACCACTGAGCCTATATATAAATACATTACCTATATACTATACTATACTATACCTATATATAAATACTAACATAAATACAGTGTTCCTACTTCACGGTTTTCCACCTATCGCGGTGGTGTGTGGAACGTAACCCCCGCGGTAAACAAGGGACTACTGTAAATATAAAATATGAAATCAGGGTTTTTTTCATTTAATATAAAAATGTTCAGTGAGCAGGTTTAGTTCACGCTACTTTCCTTCCCTCCATTGATTACGGTGACATTATTTACATAAATGCTCCTGCACATGTTGGATGCTGTATATCACAGTGCGCTAAGATTCATAACTCACTGCAACTACCGTACCCAGCACAGTAGGCCTGTCACGATAACAAATTTTTCTGGTCGATTAATTGTCTCAGAAATTATTGCAATAAACGATAATATTGCTTGAAATTTTAAAATAATTAGTTGATTTTTTTTGTGTGGTGCCTTTTTTGACCACTGGATGGCAGTATGAGACTGTTTGAACTGAAGGATGGACAGTGAGGGAGCAAGCAGCGTGTCTCTTTAAGAAAAATGGGAGGGAGGCCCCTTGACGTGACATGGGCTGTCTCTACTTCTTGTTTTTTGGTTCTCAAAATGGCGGATGCTGCGTGCGGTTTGAGCTCTTTAGCATAGCATTTTTCACACAAAGTTTTTAATTAAAAAAAAACCCAGTAAACACGTTCTCAGCTTCGCTTTTCAGAGAAAAACAATGTTTTAGAAGAAGGCACGGGTTTCAACCGAGAATTTTGGAGCTTCGACAAGACGGAGAATTTTTCCCGAGGTCGGCCTGTTAGCTTAGCCTGTAGCTTAGCTTCTCAGCTTAGCTGCTTTTAACGATCCAAAAACATGATTTTGGACGGTTAAACAGATTTTAAAGAGAAAGGGAGGGGTCAGTGAAGAGCACCGGAGTTGAGCCTTTTGTCATCCAGTGTCTTCAGTAGAAAGAGAGAAACACTAAGAAACGATAAAGCTGATAAATGAAAATGAGGTTGATAATTTTCATTTATCATGCGATCAATTGATTTACTGTTTATAGCGACAGGCCTACATCACAGCACTCTGAATTTTTACAATGGCAACAGACTCAAGAGTTTAATTACCTTCACATAACCTGCTATCTGGAACCCCCCCCCCCCCCCCCATTGTTGTTCCTCTTGAGGGAAATTAGACTCAATTTTTGTCACTAATGATCGTGATTAAACTCATAACACGATGTGTCCATATAAATAAAGTACAGACAAATCAATAAGGTCGATCACAGACGCTGCTCCACTGTAAACACTGCCTGAAGGCACTGGAGGGAAAAGGGACTCCAGATGGTACTGCTAACACACACACACACACACACACACACACACACACACACACACACACA